GTTGTACATGACCGCTGTCGACGGAAACCGTGCTGTTCAGGGGTGATGAGGTTGCAGTTTTCCAGATAGCACACCAGTGCATCGGCAACTATGGATTCCATGATCTTGGAGAGTATAGGAAGAAGGGTTACTGGGCGGTAGTTGGAGGGATCAGTTCTGCTTCCACCTTTGTGAATCGGGCTTATTATTCCAAGCTTCCACATGGCGGGAACTTGGTTCTGGTCTAAGCAGTGCTGGAAAAACTGAGCTAAAGGTCCTGCCAGTTGGTTTGCTGCTGCTCCCAATGCCTCTGGACGAATGGTGTCGACACCCGGCGAGCTGTGTTTGCGTAGAGAAGTCAGCTTTTGCAATACAGCCTCTGCGGTAAAATTGATGTGGGTTAGTCCTGGTGAGCAGAATACAAAGCTTGGTAGATCGCTTGGTGGCAAGACTCCTTGAAACGTGGGGCGTATTGCATCTGCAGCGCGTTTGCAGCTTCCATAGACGTTCTTGTTGGGCCATCAGCCGTCTTGAGTGGAGGAAATCCTTGCCTCACTTTTCGTAGGCTATTAACGTGCTTGTACAGCAGTTTGTGGTTAGCACTGAAGGTTTTTGCGATGTTCTGCTGATAGGCGGCTTTGTCTTCTCTTAACAGTTGAGTGCAGTGGTTACGTTGGGCTACGTAGTTGTCCCAAGTTTCTGGTGCTGGAGCTTCTCTGTACACTCGCCATGCTGCGTTGCGTACTGTCATCCATTTTCGGGTTCTGCTCCTAACGAAAGAAACGGATTTGCACTTATTGCAAGCTTTTATCTCTGAAGCCTGTGCAATCAGCTGACTGAATGTGTTGACGAACTCGAGCCAGGCGACTTCCGGGGGTTCTTCTTCGAGGAAAGACCATGTTGTGGCGCTGACTAGCTGGGCGAGTCGGTCGTACCTTGTGATGGTTCGCACAGTATCATCATTATCATTCAGATATTCTGCATAGCAGACGAAGTTGAAACTGATGACTGCGTGATCACTGCGAACCAACGGGCAGTCTAAAACCAACGCATCAATCATATGCTCCTCGTTGGTAAGCACAAGATCCAGCACAGATGGCCTGTTACCAGTTCTGAACCGAGTGGGCAAAGTGATGTGGTTGTGAAGAGGAACAGTAGTTACTAGATCTTGTAAATCGGTTTTGAATTGTTCTCCGATCGTGGCAGGGGCTTCTAAACAATGTACGTTGAAATCACCCATGATAAGAATGTGAGTGTACTTTTGTTGTAAACTGCACCTTAAAGCAGCCATTAGGTGGTAGTCGGTTTCGGGTGTTGAGTTAGGGGCGCGGTACACCAAGACAATAAGGCAAGCGTCCCTGCCTTTAAACTGCAACCGGCACCAAGGAGAGTCGGGGAACTGCGAGTCTGAATCCTCCACGGCTTCGCACTGTAAGTCGTTTCGGTAGTACAGGATTACCCCTCCTCCTTTTGTGAGCCTGTCGTTCCGGATCAGCGACATGCCGGGTAGCGAAACTTCAGCGTCCGTCATTCCCGTGTGCAACCATGTCTCGGTGATACCAATGACATCATACGAGCCGGAAGCTTGGCGATCTTTCAGTTCAGCCAGTTTGTTAGAAAGTCCCTGAGCATTTGTATACAAGCAGGCCAGTTTCTCGGTCTCTAGGAGCCCGCAGAGAGGTGAAGCTGTCAAGTGTGGGAGAATGCCGACCGATGGGAGGTCGGCAGTTATTCGTTTTTTTGATAGGTCAATGATACCTCGTTTGCAACTTGATTCGGCCAAGGTGCGTCCCAGCCTTCGTTTAGACCTACGTCAGAGTCAATTAAAGCAGCAGTCAAGTTACACTTCTGTACATTCGTCAGTATACTTGCTGCTTCAGTTGCTTTAATAGTTGAGCTGTGCAAAGTGTTTGCGACCTTTAACCGAATTTCGGAAGGAAGATGTTTCCGATTTCTCCGCCATCGATCCAAAACATCCTTTGCTTGTTGCTCTGACTGAACCACAAGTTTTAGGATTCTAGGGCCGCATCCTCTATAATTTGGTAAGAGAGGTATCGTGGTGACCGATATCGCTACAATAGTGTCCAAAGAAAGTGTTTCACGAATGAACCGCCACTGTTCTAAATCGTGCTTTCCGGTCTCTTGAACATCGTTAGAAGGATGTTCTGGCATGCCATGTATGAAGACTGTGTTTAGGCGGTCTTGCTTGCTGTGCCCCTTTTCGGTGTTTCGTTTTGGTTGTCGCGTTCCAAGGGACATCAGGATAGATACGTATCACACAGGATTCGTGTTTTAGCGCGCTTGCGGAGAGCAAAACATTTTCTACGTCGGTGGAGGATTCTAGAGTTACTCGAATAAGTCTGGGTTCACCATAGTGTGGCGAGTTCGGATGACGAGTAATTCGTAACAAGTTTATGGGCTTGGCTTTGACACTCATCTGCATACACAATGAGTTCCATTGGTCTTGGTCGTCTGATAACTTATCCCGCAATGTGATGGCGGTAGATTCAGGGACATTTGAGCATACAACAGTCCGGGCACTGTTGTTGGATCCCCTTTTAATCGATCTACAAGGTATGGTACTCATTTGTCTTGACTTGTTGACAAGTGATTGTTTGCTGTTTTTCTCTCCATTTGCGTTAACGGTGTTTACAATGGAAGAGGACGCAACGGCGGCCTCTCGGTGGACCCTTGCAGCAATCTCTGCATATGTAACCGATGTTCTGGGAGGCTTAGTCTCGACAAGTGATATTTGAGCTACAGGTACCAACGGTTGGTGTTTGGCTGCTCCATCCTTGTTAATACTAGATGTCAGGTCTAGTGGAATTTGCTTAACCAGGCGTTTTGAATGGTGCCTGATTTTCGTTGCTGTGAGTATTGCTTGATTCACGTAGGTACAGTCTGTTTTCGCCCGGCGTTCTACCAAAGTTGGAGAAGACAACGGAGATGGAGACGTGGCTGATTGCGGTGCAGGGGAAGCGGATTGTTCAGCATTCCGTTGCTTAGCATCTGCTACGCTTCTATGGTCCATACTCGCTTCCATTGAAGTAAGCTTATTGTTGATCCTCTGCTCTGCTTCTGCGATTAACCGGTCGCATTTCTCAGCTAGGATAAGCAAGCACTTAATGAGAGGGATGGTGGAACACGCAGTACAGAACCAAAATGCATCTTGGGAGCTATTTCGCTCCCGTAACTGTTGTTGGGACACATTTGCACATTTCGTATGGTACCATTCCAAACAGTGCGAACAAGCCAGACCGATTTTTACTACCCGATTACATCCTCCTAACCCGCAAATGCCTTTCGTTTGGAGTCTCTTCGGTTTCGCCTTTCTGTCATTCAATTTGGTGTCGTTGCCTGACCCAGTGGGTTGGTTAGCGTTCTGTACTTTTACAGCTTTGAGAACGGCGCATATCGGTCAGACGAACATGGTGGTTGCAAGGTCAAATGAGCGGTCGGCGTGGTTGTGCGGTCCGTGTGATGGGTTATGCAGACGCACTGGCTGACAAGGTCACAAGGAATGGCGAGTTACTGGAAGCTGAAAACAGCGCTGAACACAGATTGAGAGATCACAGATTCTTTCACAGCTGTGTTGAGAAACACTGGATCGGAGTAAGCTTAGGCTTTTCGGCCTGCCTCGAGAATTCTGTATCGAATGGTGTCACACAGAAAGGCAATCGGCTCAATACGATTGAATTAAACGCTTGCGCTTAATCACAGATGCCAGTGAAAAAGGTTAGTGATGGCACAGCCTCTAATCGTAGAATATATTTCCACGTATGATGGATCACTGTGTAGAGCTGGAAAATCCGGTTCGAATGAGCGTACAGCGAAAACGCTGCGAGAAGATGGAGAGAGGATAGAGGGAAATAATCCAAATGAACCAGTAGCACGCACGTCACGCGTGTGTGAGGATGACCTTGCGGCCGGTAAGTATTTTTTTTACAGAAATAAACATGACCGAGTGACCAATAAGCGTCGATCATACACAAGTCATTTTTCATGCACTGCACATATCTTTTTGCGATGCATGATACGTCTGTAGCCCTGGATTGTTGTCAAGGTTCTAGGGTAGCGTCCAGTGAATTAAACTGCCCGTGAGAGAACTGCGCATTGAAAAAGTGCGGACAAACATCAGAGCAATAGTGTATTGCACCAGAAACCGTCCGGTCCTATTACATTAGTAATAAGCTGGATAAGGTGCGCTGCAACCCACCCACGATCCTCTTTTGAAAGCAAATGTTTGTCAGTCATCAGTGGTGACACAGGTGAGTATACGTACCAAGGATTTCTGCCAAACGCAATCACACTGCGTCTAGGTATCTCATTGGAGAACAGTGCACATGATGCTTTTGCTGTTACGCATCGTGTGCGAGGAACAGTGAGCCAATTTCTATACTATTCTTTTACATTAAGAGCGCGTATCCACTGCAGTAGGAAACGATCGACTAACACTGCCATGGCTAAGACTTTGATAATGCAAGCCATATCCGGGAACACGATGGAATGAAGCTGAGAATGGATTTCAAAGTTATGCTTTTCCATACCAGCACTATTATTATTATTATTATTACTCTACTACAAGCAGTTATTATGTAGCCGTGCTGCGTCCGGGAGGTTGTGAAAAGTAAGACTGCTATATTTCACCACAACGGACTGAATCAGCTGGTATATTAAATAAGGCCCCTGTCCAAAGGGCCGGTTAGTATTGAGCATGTTTCTCAGTTCAGCAATCTACTTGGTTAACTACCCATAATGCATTGATAATGTGGGATCCTACGTTCGAGAAAATGTTTCATTATTCCCCTGTAGATGAACGTTCACACCGTCTACATGCTGTACCACTGTAAATGTTAGTCGAAAAACAATGGTCGGCTCCCAACTATTCACACCGTCCATTTGAATTCGTTTTACTAGGCAGTTGCGAAAATGTGAACTAGTTGCCTTCCTAATCCATTAATTTCACCTGAGCGGGCATATTTGCCCGAGTAATGAAGACGGAGTAAATAGAAACTCGGCGTTCAAATGACGTTGAGTGAGAAGGAGTTACAAAACAGCCGACTCAGACGTATTGGCATAGTCTCTGTACAATCTGATTGAAATCTGGTCGGTCTTGAGGGAGAGTTCGCCAGGTTTCTTGCATCAAGATACCACTGAAAAGAAAGAAAGCCGTATAATGATGTTAACGAAATTAGGTTAGTAATCCGTGTATCAACAAAAGTTAATTCACAGATAATTTTTGCAAACCTATAAATATATTCAACACTACACAGAAGCCTCTGAAATGGTATTGTTGAGTGATCAATAGCAACAGTCAATGATCCTGTCTATATGACGCAGAAGAATGGATGTTCGGAATATTCTCGAAATAACCTTCGGAAGGAAGTGAACTCAGGTTGCAGAAGGTACATTAGGGAGTAGGATCAGTCCAAATATATCTGAATAGGAAACGCTTTGTCGACACGGATGGAACTGATTAGGAGAACGGCCAAGGCTGTTCAGGCAAACCCACACTCTTCATCGAAGGAAATAAAGTGGATCTAATGCACTATTTAGTTTATGATTCAAGTGTACGTTGCCTTCTGAATAACAGTACGGAACTCTGGTAACATCTGGCACAAACATAATTTTCTCACAAAATTATTTTCTGCAAGATAGGTCAGGTAGGCAATGCAAATTACAGGTGATTCGACGCCAGCTGTGTGAATCGGAAGAGTCACAGTTATGATTTTCATAATACTAACACTTCTCTGCATGCAGTGGGGGAGGCTGAGGTCAATTTACTTTCTTTACTAACATAAGGGTAGTATGTGTCCTGTCGAGGAATCCGAGAGCTTCCTTGCCCCATGTGCAAAGAAGTGGTAATAGACCTGTGGGGCAGCGATGCAAAACGAACACCTAGTAGGCGGTCGCATACCTGTGTCACAACCAAAAAATAAGACACCGTGCTACACGGAAGAGATGGGTAGGTGCTGTTGTCACAAATGACGAGAGGAGAAATGGGGTTGCGGTGAACGGATGGTGAGAACAACAACGGAAAAGGATTAGCCTAAAAGTATATAGTTCTTTTCACAGTTACTGCAACTTATCCTGTACACGGCGTTTGTTCGTTTTTGTTTCCCGTTTGTCCTTTGCGTATGACAGTGTTCTCCAACTAACGGTTGGCTTATGGGTAACCAATACATGTTTGAGTCATCGAGTTGTCAGATATGTTCTTCATTTAGGGCAAAACGATCCGTTTGCTTATCTTTGGCATCGGCTCGTTGTTTGTGGGCTTGTGGTTCAAACATCTACAAATGACGAACCTCAATTATGTGCAAATGAAGCTGCATGACTATCCGTTACAGTAAAGTAAATTGTATAGGTATTTAGCTTCTTCCCGTTTCGTGTACGCAGTCTCAAATCTACCAAGTAGCGTTCGTACGCAGCTTATTTTGTGACTGTTTTAGTTCACAATTTGGTTCGTATGTGTGCCTTTACTATCAATGGTTGTTCGAAAGTTATTATCCAAGGTTCCGGTCACCAATATGTCCATGAATGGTAGGCCCGTTTGCTGTCTCCAATTCCATTGCAAACTGAGTGCCTCCCCCTGCGTTTTTAAGTAGTTGTTGGGCGACTGCCACTTCCCTGCTTATAATCATTATAAAAGTATCATCGAAGAAGCGGGTCCAAAACTTTGGATTAATTGTTGGCAGAAACGAAGCGAGAAGAAGAGAAACACCTACAAAATTCATTGGAACGCAACGGGTACTCACGCAGCTTCATTCGCAGATGTTTAGACCACAAGCCCACAAACAACGAGCCGATGCCAAAGACAAGCAAACGGATAGTTTTGCCCTACATGAGGAACATATCTGACAACTCGATGGCTCAAACATGTCATGGTTTCCCATAAGGCAACCGTTAGTTGGAGCACACTGTCAGACCCAAAGGACAAACGGAAAGCACAAAATGAACAAACGTCTTGTACAAGATAAATTGCAGTAACTTGGAAAAGAACTATGTAGGGCAGACAGGAAGGAAATAATCGATAAGGATAGAAGAACATCAAAGGACCTACAGATAGTATTACGCATCGGTACTGGTCTTAGTGCATGTGGATGAGGAAGGACATAGCTTCGACTGGAACAGAACGGGGGTTCCGGCTCAAGTAGACACCCAAAAAAGGGTGAGAATTCTTTGAACTTTGGTTCTTCGTTAATAGTCCTATCAACATGCGCATTTACATCGACCTCACATGTCAACAACCCAGAAAGAAATATCTCCAAAGATTTGAAAAGCAGAGCTCGAAAAGAGATAAGCGACGAACAACTCAAGCGACTGCTTCGGCCGCAAACGTCACGGTGAGCAAATGGAAGACGTCACACAAAAGTCACCTATCCGTCGACCGCGAATAGATGATTCAATCAGTGAGATTGTCATCGGGCATCACCGAAATAACGATGCCACTTCGCATGGTGACGAAACGTATGCGACCACTTAATCAAGCTCCGCAAACCAATCAACAACTGAACAACTAAGCCGGGCTGCCAGCCTTAAATTATTTCGCACAACGGAAGAGGACTAGCCTAAAAGTACCACAAATGAAAAAGAACATCAGGGAGAGAAGGAAATAACGATAGCCATCTGAGTGAGTCCCCACAGTTTATAGTCTTTTGGTTTGGCACAAGGACCTACCACATAAGCAAGCATCAGCGTTTCAGAAGTGGACAGTTGCAACGGCTGCGAAATACCAAAATTCATGCAACATCAACATTGAGTTGTTGAAAACCTGATGGAACTAGTTAGAAGCCGACAACACATTAATGTAATGACCGCTTTCTCCTTTTGTTATCATTCTAGCCCAATTTCTCCAAGTACAGGGGATATCGACTCAAAAGTAACTTGTCCCATACTACTGTAATCTTTTATAGTAGTAATAACCCACAATAATATATTGCCTGTCTGGTTTTTGTGGACGGCCCCAATGGTTTTCCCGCTTTCACGCAACTGCCGTCATCATGGTCAGCCGATATGCACCACAACAAAAATACTGGGAATGCCCGTGGATTAGCGGAAAATGTCAATTAAAAAACCGAAGAAAAATTTCCATTATAACCTCCCTATTGTATCCCTTCATAAACCTCAGCTATCAACAATCCTGCCCACCTGAGCATGTTGCACATACAAATATCGTTCAGAACGCAACGTGGTGCAGAGGAGATGCTCACCCATGTCTAGATATCATAACAGTTAGAAGATAGAAACTCGGGTCCATTTGCGCACTTCCTTCGTGGCACCTCTTGATATTTTTTCCGCTGCGCCCTTTATTCACAGCGCGTCGGCCGAAGTTGATTTATGCACTACGCGTTCTTCGTCCGCGATGATTCATGATTCCTCTGCTCTGCTCGTGTATAGACATACCACTCATTAGTAATGCAATTCAATATGAATCGTTCCTTTGCGGGCACGGCTTCTCGGGAAGAGTAGAAGGTACATTTTCTACGTAAATAGTAAATTATTTTAAAGTGACCTAGAACATGCCCAAATAATTTCTGCTGTATAACTTTGTTTGTGGAATGAGAAGCACTAAGACAGACGACGGAACAGTTTAACGCATGTCAAACTCACATGTGTGGAGGACAAAGTGGTGGTTTTGACATTCGGTAACCGTGCTGAATGATGTTCTGCACTTGTTCCAAAGTAAAATGCAGGTAAGGAGTGCCGCCGAGTGTGTAGACTTCCCATAGGAGGACTCCGTAAGACCATCTAACATAAACAAAGAAACGTAAGTCTCAATCAACTACTTTGCATTTGTTCAAAATGGGATGGTTGGACAAAACAAACAGTGGGACAGTAAGATGAATCGACTTTGTTAGAGCTTCTTCACGACCGGTCAGGTAGACCCGTTGCACATCATAAGAAGCACTCGACGGTCGCTTCATCTGACGTAATCTCCTAGCCACTCCTGGAGTTGGACTCACGGCACATGTTTGGAACGCAGCACTGTATGCTACTAGGTGGTAGGTGTGGTCTCTTAACCGCCACAACTGATTACCAGCCGCAATGTAACGCGACACATGTTCCACTGCTATGCATATCACGAAGGTGTAGTGGACGGAGCTGACCGCCGAAGGCTACCGTACACAACCGAATATAAGGCGATAATTTCTAAATACATTTTTGTTTCTGTAATGGGGGGTTGGCTTATACAAAGGCTTTACGGAATTTGGAAAAAAGTCACATGCAAAATCCACCCAGGAATTCACCGTCCACACTGCCTTTATCTCCCCTTAACACCACCCGCTAGTGACGGACGGTATCCCAGACAGGGAATTCGAGCGCCTATAACTGGACACGTTAGTTTTGTGTCGAAAAGCTCGGTATATTGCACATTTGACGCTCACGACGGATGGCAGTAGCGAATCAAAAGCCAGCCGATCCGGCTTCTTAAAAGTACAACGTCGTCACACACCCCTGACCGTGAACTTTCTCACTTACTTCTCTACTACGGTCCATACGCATGAGACACCTGACTATGTCTGTCTGACACACTCACTTTATCCTATATTGTCTTAGTTGTCTCATGTGACTTGACATCTGGTCCATTCACCATCCGGTGGGATGAAAGTCTGTTCCGACGGCCCTACGCTCCATCAACCGACAGCATAACATTGCGGTCACCACAACTCACCAATGGTGGAGAAATTTCCACTTGAACGCACTCAAGTGAGAGCAAGTAGTGATGACGTCAGAATCGTGGAGTAGCAATTTCGTTTCTGTGGATTATTAGGGGTCAGCTAAAACAGGGAGTTACGAGTTTGGACAAATTTGATGTTGCAAAGTTATACTGCCAGTTTATCGATGGACGGGCTTATATTCGGTAATATACTGTAAGAATTGCTTTGCATGCCAACACTAATAGAGGCGGTACGTAAGCTGCTCGGTGCAGAACTAGTTAGTTGACGTGGTGTGAGAAAGATCTATCTCAATTAGTTTCTAACCACACGACTTGCCACACATCATATTTAATAAGAAAATATCCGGAATCTCGTTAATAGCGATCGCAAAGGTTTAATATTTTGCTTATGCAACACTTAACTGTCCCCCCATTTGTTAGCGAAGCTCGCACTGATGGTGTAGTGCAACAGAAAACATGCTCTTTCAGTATCTTGGAACATTGGATTTTATGGTTGTTTTAACCTTCGGAACGTCCATTTGTTTAACTGACTGCATGTCCGTTGTCACAAACCGTTTTGGTGAGTTCCTCGCTGCACGTTTCTCGCTCTGTCTGATTCGCTTCCTATTCTTGTAGCCTGCACAATATACGTTGGGTTCACACCTCTATGCGCCTCATTGCTTGCCCGGGTTTCACAGCCGCGTCAAAAGAAACAAGTCGCACCAGATCAGTACACATGTGCTTTATTCTCGATTCCGCGTTTTCGGTACAAGCAGCTGTGATTTAGACCTCGCTCGCTCACTAAATCGATTGCCTGATCAAATGCACTGAGGCATACACACGACTTGGCCGCGATAGCCTGTGGCTGTTTGTTTGTCCCACGATTGCGAACGCGCTTGAGGAACTGAGGTTGCTCACACTACCCTCCCAAAAGGGCTGCAGGCTGACCCCAAAGATGCACGCAAATGGGTAAAAGCAACCAAGGCCCTATGTAGAATCGGTACTTCCCTGTAAGATTCCATCGAACGCCCCTCCAATCCGCACGCTGATGACATTTCTCAATCCGCCATAAAGCAACGATGACCTGAGGTGGCATTGCTTTGGAATCAAGCCTCTCGAAACATACGACAATAAAATGTTATTTATTTATTTATCAATGGGAGACATCGTTTGTAATGCCTAGTCACAAGTGCAGTCCCAAACAAAATACTCGTGTTTACACTGACAGGTCCACCACATCACTACCACCACCAAATTATGGGAAACATTGGCTGGTGATGGAATTTATCAACTCGTTAGAGCTGGATGGTGCTTTACACAAACGATTACATAAAAGGTTTTCGACCGTGTGTCTCACAAACGGGTAATGATAAAGATAGCTACAGCTGAAATTCAGGAGCTAGAATGGCTGTCACAATAAATGAGTAGTTGTTCGCAGGTTGTCATCTTAGGTGACCATCAGTATTCTTCACGTCCAATCACCAGTAATGTCAGTGAAGATAGTGTACTCGATCCGTTAATGTTCTTGTTTTATGTCAACAAGCTACTGGATAGCTCTGATCCTCCGTATATCCTAGGTTGCTCCATATGCCCAAATCTCTTCGAATCACTTGAGAATTAATCCACAGAACAATGCTCGTCTGCTTCAATTGGCCGAGGCTACAACGATTCGGCGGCTGAAACAATGTTTGTACAAACAGACCGAAGTTAAGATCAGCTTCGCATTACATTTGCGAAGTACTCCGATCGCTGCAAATATCAAATAAGTTAGCCTGAACATTGTTTCCGCTTAAGCAACACGAGTATTTAGCGGACGTTATGTTAACAATGGATAAGCAAACCCTAAATGGTTGAAATTAGACAATCCTACCGAAACGTTACTTTTTCGTGCTAGCTTGAAATTTGGTAGGGAAATGTCCTGTATAAAAGCAGTGTAGATATCAACAATGGTATACCATTCCCACCCGCCGAGGATGATTTATATCATCGTCTAAAAGTGGTCAAGAAATTCCAACCAGCTGAGCTTTAAAACATGCTATCGTTCATTCGGTATGATCTTCACACCCATGAGATATGGTGTCACATGTAGATAATGAGATACTTGGAAATTATTGAGAATACCTGTGGCACGGGGTGTGACTGAGAGAATTGCCCTGTTCTCCGAGCCGGGCATTTCGCTTGCGGACGTTTCGTTACCAAACTAGGCAACATCTTCAATGCGGCTATTCAGTCCCGATTCGCGGTCTCGCAAACCAATGTCAGATCCGAGTGACTATTGATTGTTGCCTGCTTCGAATGTCAGCCTTCGATCTGTTCACGTTAGTCGGTCGAGTGGGTACCTCTTCTCCTTGTCGATCTGGTGTCTAATGCTGGCTTAACCTGCAGAGCTTCATAGACACCCTCCAGCTTCAGGTGTTTGTTGATTGAGTTCCGGCCAGAATGCCATGCCTCGAGGAACTCACGCGCTCTGCGGTTTCTTGCTCTTCCAACTATTTCAACGTTCTCCAGATCGAACTGGTAGTTCTCGGCATCCATGTGTACTGACATTAAGGATTTTTCATCGTGACGGCGGATGGCCAGACTATGTTCGTGTAGTCTTGTGCCAAGTTTTCTTCCAGTCTGGCCTACATAGTACTTGTCACAGTCCTTGCAGGAAATTTTGTAAACTACACCCAATGTTTCTTTCTTAGAGAGTTTGTCCTTCACCTTAAAAAGTTTACTTCGTATGGTTTCCGTTGCTTCGTGTGCAACAGTTATCCCGTGAGGCAGTAGAAGCCTCGCTACCATTTCAGAAATCCCATGGATGTAAGGTAGGATAATGGTTCTTCTTTCTGTTGCACATGTGGATGCGAATTGTGACTGGCTCTTCGACATCAGACAGCGTAGAATAAAGGTTTTAGGGTATGGATTTCGCTGAAACATGCAAAATAGGTGGTCCTCCTCCGCCTTTCTCAGTTGCGGCGTGCTACAATGTGTCTGGGCCCGATTGAAAAGCGTTCTCACGCAACTTCGCTTGTATATGGTCGGATGGTTGCTGCGATAGTTTAAGATCTAATCGGTATGGGTCGCTTTCCGATAAACTGTTGTTTCCAGTGACCCAGAAGCATGTCTTCTCACGAGCACGTCCAAGAATGGTAACTGATCATTGTTCTCTTCCTCTTTGGTGAAATGGATGCCGGAAAATATATTGTTGATTAGTTGATGTGTTTCTTGTAGTCTGGAGTGTTTGAGATGACAAAAGTATCGTCTACGTAACGTACCCAAAGTTTGGGCTCCACTACTGGCAATGCCTTCTGTTCCAAGCTTTGCATCACTGCTTCCGCTACCAGTCTAGAGACTGGCGATCCCATTGGCGTACCCGTTATCTGTTCGTACATTTGACCATTGAAAGTGAAATGTGTGGTGAGACAGAAGTCAAGCAACTCCATCATTTGTGTGGCTCCAATTCGGTTGCTGGTATTTACCGCTCCGTGTTGTTCAAGCAGAATGCTCATTGTTTGCCTCGCCAGCGTAGTGTCAATTGGTGTGAACGAAGCTGTAACGTCAAACAAGACCATTATATCGTCTCTTTCTACTGTTATTCCCTGAAATTTTTCAAGAAATTGTTCTGCTGACTGGATTAAGTGCTCTAAGCCTGCGATTAGGTGTTTCAACCGTTTCCACAGTTCCTTAGACAGTTTGTAATTTGGTGCCCCGGGTAATGATACGATAGGGCGAAGCGGTACCCCATTTTTGTGTATTTAGGTAGGCCGTAGAACCGTGGCAACACTGAATCCTCGGGTTTCATCTTGCTGTGTTCTAACTTCGTGAGCTGTCCCGTTTGTTCCAGTCTTTAAAGAGTTTTGTTGATCTTGCTTTGCAGACATTTTGTAGGGTCTTCACTTATCGGCTGGTAGGTGTTCACATCTCCGAGCAGTTTTTGTGCTTTCTTCATGTATTTAGATTTGTCCATTATTACAGTAAGACGTCCGTTGTCGGCCGGTAATATAACAATAGTTTTGTCATTTCTGAGGTTTGTCAGTGCCTTTCGTTCGATTACACTGAATATGTTGGTTTTAAGGTGAAGGACAAACTCTCTAAGAAAGAAACA